AATAAGAATGTCTTGCAATCTTTTAACCAATAACAATACGTGGTTAATTAAATAAAAACAGGCAATCAGACATTCATTATTATAGGATCTTTAATAATTAATGAAACATCGTCTTATTTTTTGCTTTGACTTATTTTACTTTGATCAATAAAGATTATTCTGTGTTTTTAGATGTTTAATATATGCTTACAGGTAATTAATAACTAATGGACAAACTTTTTACATTTAAGTGATTTAAATTCTGCCTAATTTAATATGTAAATATCTTCACAGAATGAAAACATGTAAGAACTGAAATAAAGAAGTTTGACTCTATGTAGAAATATTCTGAATTACTGTACAGTTCTTTAAAATGTTAAATCAATTAGATCCGAACTAGAAGCCAAAGCTGAACCGACAACAAAACCATCATGTGTTTAATTCTCTTTAACCCTTGTCTGTTAAACATTCAGCCAATATTTGAAAATGGAAAATAAAGAACCCAGTTAGACAGGAGCTATATTATTATGTCTATTTAAAATTTAAACCGATTTCATTATAAGACCAACAAATCTAACTGGTTATTATTTTATCTGTTGCTATTTTTGGTGTCAAAATAAAATCTTATTATTTTAATTATATATTTTCGCTTGAAACAAAAGATGATCCAGTTTATCTTGTCTAATTTCTCTGGACCAATTTCCATCTTTAAGATCTGATTTCAAGGCGCTAAATTTGGCCAAAATCAGATAATTTCCTGAAACAAGATTAGAGGATAATTGTTTCCTTTTATAAGCTTCTTAAACTGGCAGCTTATCAAGTTTCTCTATTGTTTTTTTTAATAAATAGCTGAGATACAGTAAGCTGGGTGATAAATCAGTGAAAACCAGAATAATTTCTATTATAAATCAGAATAAAGGCATCGATGCTTTAAATACATTTCCTTCCTTATTGTTTATAAATTCAGTCTAATAGGAAGCAGCAAAAACAGCTTGAATGAACGGAGTTCTCTCCAGCCAAGTATTAGAATACCACCCCTCCCCCACCTGTTGCTGTAAAAAGAAGGTCAGCTGAAAGGAGGGTGCTGCGCTTTCCTATTTGTTTCTAAATTGTTTAATGTTTTATGTCTATAAAATAAAATTAAAAAATGCCTCTTAAGCAAGCATTGTTAGGTTAGCTAAAAATATTGATTAGATAAGCAGCATTTTTTTAAAGAGCAGATTGGCAAAATGTTCTATAATATAAATTAAAAGATGCTAATATTACTATATAATATTATGTGTATACTAATAAATGAATCATTATTAATTAAGAGTAGCAATGTACTGCAATCTAGTAGAGATAAACTAGAGATCATACATATTTCTTTATTAATTACGTGTTATTACCATGGAAACAAGATTTTTGACTTAACCTTATCATTATAACATTATACCCGCCCCTGCCTTATACACATATTTAAAAAAAAAATGAATATTGTATTCACAAAGGTGCAAAAAGAATCTGTAGCAGAAATATAAATTACTATAGCAGATATGTTGGGTTCTGAGGATTATAATCCAAACAGATTAATTAAGCCTCAGATTAATTAGCGCTGCTAAAAAATTATTTGCCTCCTTTAGAGATTCCCTCTTTCATTTCGCTTTAGCCGACATAAATATCAGCGAAAGATCAGAGGAAAGACTAAACACTGTTTTTAAGCAAAGTTTTTTCTCTCTACTGCGACCTTACTTGTTGCATTGTGCGATCGGTGAGCCTACTTTGTGCTGCGGGTGAGGTACGATTCGGTGACTGCTAGGTTTAGAAGTTACTTCACCGGTTTCTGATTTAACAAGAAGGAGATTTTTTTTTTCCCAGACATGACCCAAATTGTTTGGATCTTTTTTACCTTAAATACATTAAATTATTAGAGAATTAATTTTAGTGTTACGCAATTAATCTTTGTCTGATATAGGCCTGAAACAATTAATCAGATTAAATTTAGTCTAATGTAGTAATTGATTAACTGGAGTATAGAGACTCTAAAACAAGCCTTTAGCTGACAGAACGACACACTTAGAGAAGTAATTATATCAAAATTGTGGAGAAAAAAAATACACATTTTGCATTAAAAAAATAATAATAATTCCGTCTGTCAGTCTCCTCTATCCAGAACTGCTCAAGTGGAAAAGTTTTAGCTTCACTTGGTTTCATTTTGTATAAAATCTTTATCTTTAAGGAACCTTTGACTATCCAATTATTCATCAAATAATCTACGGATTAATACATTTGAAAAATAATGGTGAGTTGAAGCCCTAATCTGATATTAAAGTTGGAAGATCTGAATGAACCAAAACAAGAGCAGAGGAGAAGGGAGGGGCTTGCTGGTTCAGAGAACTATAGTCGATACCGAACCACAATAAAGAGGTGGAGAAGGAAGCGATCGGCCTTAGTCTGCTTCAACAAACTCACTGATAACACGAGACACGGCCACACGCCACCTATCTGGCGTCGTAGAGGTCTGGGTGAGGGATATTCTGATGCTATCAGAGAGCCTGACACGTAGGTTGGTGCACTGCATCTATCCACAGACTCTGGTTCTTCTTCATCCATGATTTCCATACAAAACCTGAGCTTTTATCGTTCTAAATAGTTTGAACCAACAGATCTTAAAGTTTCCTGAATGTATCTCTCCTTGGTTTGCTGATTTTGTCTTTTAATCTTTCAAAAATTCAATTCAGTTTATTTCTATAGCTCCAATTCACATCATGTCATCTCAGGTCACTTTCCAGTTCAACCAGATCATCCAGTCAGATTGATTCAGTTTTCCATCAAAGGAAAACCAGCTGATTGCTTCAAATAATTGACTTAAATGCTAATCCTCACACTAAGCAAGGTTGTAGAGACAGTGGAGAGGAAAAACTCCCCTTTAACAGGAAGAAACCTCCAGCAGAACCCATCCCACCAAAACAGATTAATCCCAGATTAAAAATTCTGATTCCCATCAGAAACATCTATCATCATAGATCAGTCTGGAAAAGCCTACAAAGCCATGAAGAAATGTTGCAGAACTGGCCATCCTACCAAGATTACTCCAAGAGGGCACTAATGCACCATCCAAGACGACATCCATCACTCTGCAGGCCTCACTAAAGGTCAGAGGTCACGATTCAAAGAGAGACTGAACAGCTGACTCAGACCAACACATCTAACTTCAGGACTACAGTTCCGGACATAAGCAGAACTTTCTGGAAGGTGTGGGTTAAGTTGCATCTAGTGGAAAACTAGCAGCCTTTTAGAAGATCATCTGAGTGATGGTGCTGCGGTGGTGGAGTGACTGGGTGGAGCGGGCAGCTTTAGGGTTCAGGACCTGGAAGGCTCAGTGGAAGCATGAACTTTGCCCTTTGAAGGACAGTGATCCAAAGAACAGAAGCAATTCCTCCTCTGAGGAAACTAAATGGATGCTTGGTGGCCTAGTCAAAGTACTTATGCTGGAAAATCCTCCAATGAGTTTAAAGAACAGACTGGGTCAAAGTTCTCACTCCCAGACTTCTCTACCAACAGTCTTCCAGTGAATAGGAGCTCCAGGTTGGTACGAAAAGCTGTGTTCTAACATAAAGGAAGTCGTCTGCATTTCTATTAACTCGGACATTCAGGTATTTTTGATTAAATTAAACTTTAAAGTGTTATAGAAAGCGGAAACACTGAAGCTGCGTCAGGGTCTGGAAAGCTTCTCACAGGTGACTGAAATCTAGTCGAAAAAGTAAATGTCTGACAGACCTAGAAGCTCTTAGGAACTACTGATGGTGACCTTTTTAAAGTCTGAGTCAAGGCCTGTCCGACGCGAAGTAGAAATGAGAAGAAATGAAGAGCAGACAGAGACCTGACTAATCGCCGTCATGCAGACGCAAGCAGAAAAAATAAAGGATCTGCTCCAGGAAAGCGAGGAAAGCTCCACATCCCATCGCCCTTTCCTCTCATTTTCCTCCTTTTCTTCTCACCACATCTTCATTTGCATTTTCTCATTAGAGTGATCCTCATCTCCATCATCCAGACCGTGGAGGTGTCACAGCCCCCCCCATCGGACAGGAGCATGCTCAGAACCTCCCCAAGCAGAGCTTTATCAAGCTCACCAATATGTATTGTCAGCACTGTGCATAATCGCCCCCTCTACCTTTCCAGCAGGCTCACCTCACCTCCCCTGTGAGGGAGCGGCGGCCACCCCCTGTGTATACATTACACACCACCTTCTGCATCCACCAATCAGGAGCTGGAGCAGGGAGGCAGACTTGGAAAGCACATAGTTACAGCAGCGGATCCATACATTTGGATCTCAGCAGGAGGCAACAGGAGCCAGAGGACCAGTAGGACCGGGAGGCGGCGACTCGGCCCAGGCGGTCATTATAATGCAGGGCATCCCCCAGTGTGCTTTGGCACAAGGCCAGAGCAAATGCCTCTAAAAGACAGCAACACACACCTCAAGATACTCTCAATTAAGCATAATCACTCAGGCAAAGTCGATTCTTTTGTGCTGGACATAGAAAAGGGATAAAACTGGTGGAGGATGATGGGAGACGGGATGATGTGTGGAGCTGAGGGGCTGTTTCAAGGTGTTAAAGGTTGGAGATTTTGACATTCACCCCACAGGAACACTGGGAGCATCATTCCTCTGGTGCATGTGGTGGAAATGAAAGGTCATCCAGCAGGACTGTCTCTGGGGGCCACTCTGTTTTACATGAACATGTCTGCAGGTGAAATTCCCAGCTAAGACATCTCAGGCTGATGGGGAAATAACTCACACACACACATGCATGCATGCATGTATGCAACCACAGACATCCAAGCATACACACCTCTTCATCCTCCTCCTTCCCTGAGGCGCCATGCAGCACTCAGGATGAACCCACAAATCCTGACGTCTCACTGAGGTGTCAGCCTCCGTGGAAAATCACACCCTGCACGCATGCATGTGCTGGAGAGCTGCAGCCAGGTGCATGCAGAGGTGGAGACATGCATCCAACAATTAAAGTCAATGACCTCACCTTTCACTTGGCTCTCGTATTCTGCCAGGATTTCTTTGTCCTTCTTGCTTTTGTTTGAGTTTGACATCTCGTCCTGTTGGAGGTGACCGATCGGCAGGTAGGTTGGTTGGTAGAAAATTTCAAAACACACAAAAAAAGCTCCAGAAAAAAAGAATTATGTCCTCCTGTCTGCACCGCCCGAGGCGTCCTCACCCGCACACATGCTCCTCACATCCATCCAGTGCCGCAACCGCACAGCCAGTAGTGGCCCCGCACCTCCACGCTGAGGAGGAGCAGCGGCGGGAGGAGGAGGAGGAGGGTGGAAGAGGAGAAACAGACACGTGCACACACAGGCGCGCGCGCTCACGCAGAGTTCTCAGTTTGATGCTATCTTCACCCCGCCGTCACCTTTCTACCAGGCACTTAGAAAAGCAGTCAGGGTGAAACAGAATGAATGAAACGCCGGTGAGGAGATGGGTGTGTCGGCGCCGAGGGCGGGGTTAGAGGCGTGACTGACAGCCGCAGTGCCCAATTAGTCAAAGCGCAGTGTGGACACTTTATTTTTCATTCAATTCAGTTATTTGATTTTTTTGTGTTAAATACTTCTTATGCATTTGTTTTTGTTTTAAATCTTTTAAATTGATTGTTTTTTTTTGCATAAGATGGAAAGAACGCTGCTTTCTATAAAAGCAGATTCATCTGATTTCCACATATGACTAAATCAGAGTAAAGATCAGCACCACACAGCGCGCATTACAAACGGTCCAGGCTGCATAGTTTCATCAGCTCACAAAACCTTGTGTTTGTCTCCATCTTGTGGTCAAAGTTGGTATTGAGACTCTTAAAATTGTAAATTCAACATAAATAAATACATGATTGAAGGATCTTATTCTTCACTTCTTCTCATCAAACATTTAAGCAAAAATTCAGATGTTAATCTAAACACTTTAAACCAACTCTAAGCTTATTTTTCATTTATTATTAGATGTTATTTTTGCTCACTTTTATTTTTACAAACAGCTCTAGCTCTGTCACATTGGGGGAAAGTGTGTCGGTAAGCTTTGGTTTTCATGTCTAGCCATGGATTCTCTGTTGGATTCAGGTCTGGGCTTTCTTATGGAAATCCTCCCTTGTTTAGCATCATCATCCTTCTAGAAAGTGAAGCTTCACCTCAGCGCCAAGTCTGCTGCACCTCTAAATGTTTCCTGTCTTGCAGAAGAAATCCAAACATCATGCAGCTTCTACTGTGTTTCTCTGTGGGGATGGTGTCTTGATTTCAGTTTTCTATCAGACATCATTCTGACTGTTCAGGGTTGGGTTTATCTTGATAGTTTGTCACAAATTATGTTCAAGAATTTGTGTTTTTCTTTCCTAGATGACTGAAAAAAAGGACTATTTTCAGTCGAGAAGACCTAAAAAACTAAGTGTTAAATACCGGGATAATAATCTAAGTCAGTTCAGAAAACCAAGGTTGTTATAATCTGTAATGAGGGATATTTCAGTAATTATTCCTTTAGGTTCCACTGGTGAAAGCTCTGCTAACCTTTGGGTTTTTGTAAGAAATGTTAGGAAAGCAACTTTTTGAGTTTGCTTCCAAGTTAGAGGCTCAGTGTTATATTTACGAATTAATGCTCAAGAGAAAAAACAAAAAAAAAACATTTTGTCTCTACAAAAAAAAAAAAGCATCTTATTTGTTTCTCATTTAGTGGACTTATAAAAACTTTAACTCTCAGTGAGGCGGAGATGCAACAATGGTTTGAGCAGCAGCAGCTGGAAACTCGCTGAAACAAAAGGGTTAAATAAATGTGACAGTTTCCACATTAAGAGGCAATAAGCTCTAAATAAAAAAGTGTCATTCTTTAGTGAGGAGCTTAAGGCTCGTAGTTTATTCATTATATTTTCTCAGTTCCACAACTTTCATATAAATTGGAAAAAAAAAAATCATGATTCTAAGTTATGATAACAGCATTAAAA